TTGATCATGTCCCATTTATTTATTTTTGTTGCTGCTGTGATTGCCTTTGGGGACTTCTTCATAAACTCTTTGCCCAGGCCGATGTCTAGGAGAGTGTTTCCAACTTTTTCCTCTAGAGTTCTAATAGTTTCATATCTTAGGTTTAAGTCTGTTATCCAGCGTGAGTTGGTTTTTGTGAGAAGTGAAAGGTGTGGGTCCTGTTTTAGCCTTCTACAGGTGGCTATCCAGTTTTCCCAGCACCATTTATTGAAGAGAGATTCTTTTCCCCAGCGTATGTTTTTGTCTGCTTTTAAGTGTATTTTTAAAGTATTCATACAACTATGCTTAAAGCATATAATTTATTTTCTCCAAAAAATGGTTGGCATCTTTATGGATTTGCAGGCCTCTTACAATAACTGTAGGGTCTCTCATTTGATTTAAGCCTCAAAACCACCCTGTGAAGTGGTTAATATTCCCATTTTACAGATGAAAACAATGAAGATCAACAAGAGCACACATCTTGTAAATGGTGGAGTAAAGGTGGAGCCAAGATACAATACCAAACCTTCTGATTCCAAAGTTTATGTTCTTTTCAGTGCACTACACTGAATGTCTTCCAAACCTATAAAGGCTTAGGCAAATTTAAATTTAAGTTTGGTCATTATAATCCAACCAAACTCACCCAATCTCTGTAAAAAAAAAAAAAAAAAAAAAAACAAGCTGGGTATATTATTAATAATTTCTCTTTATTTTATTTTTTAATGACCATACATTAAAATTGCCTCTCTTTTTGGTGTAGAGGTCTGGGAGTTGAAATACAAGTATAGATTCATGCAGCCATCACCACAAGCAGGATGCAGAACAGTCCCATCATCCCGGCAAAACTGCCTCACACTCATGCCTTTATAGTCACACTCACCCACTCCTAACCCCCCATGACCACTGATCTGTTTTCCATCTCCACAGTTCTGTTCTTTTCAAGAATGTCGTCTACGTGGAATGATTTCGTATGTAATCATTTTTTACCTTAAAATTTGTATTTTGAAATAAATATGGATTATGCAGTGGTAAAGAATAATCTAGAGATTCCAGGTACCCTTTGCTTTATTTCCCCTAATGGTAATACCTTGCAAAACGATAGAGTGAAGATTCAGAACCTTTCCAACACCACCAGGATTCCTCGAGTTGACCTTTATGTCCACACTCACTTCCCTCCCACCTCTGCCTGCTCCTTAACCCCTGGCAATCAGGGAGACTAATCTAGTCTCGATTTCTAAAATGTTGTCCTCTCAAGAATGTTACACTTAAGGAATCGTATATGTGCAACCTTTTGTGATTGGTATTTTTTCACTCAGCATAATTCTCCAGAGATGCAACCAGGTTCCTGTGAGTATTAACTGGCCATTCCTTTTTACCGCCGAGGGTTATTGTATGGTATAGATGTAATGGACATGCCACCGCCTATTTAACCATTGGCCCATTGAAGGACATCTGGGCTGTTTCCAGGTTTTGGCTATTGTGAACAAAGCTGCTACAAACACCAGTGTACGGGGTTTTGTGTGAACATTTGTCTTCATTTCTCTGGGATTAGTGCCCAGGAGTGTAATTCCTGGGTCATAAGGTAGTTACATGTTTAGTTTTTTAAGAAACTGTCAAATTGTTTTCAGAGTGGCTGTTAACATTTTACTTTCCCTTCAGCAAGACATGACAGATTCAGTTTCTCCACATCATCACCAGCATTTAGTGTTATCACTATTTTTTTTAGTCATTCTGATAGGTATGTGGTGATAAAAGTTTTCTATTTTGCCAGGATGCCCCTTCCCTAACCATTTGCTAGAGAGCAGGCTTCTGTTGGAGCTTTTTAAAAAATCTGTATCCTTCTGCATTTCTGGGTTGCCAGCTTCTCCAGCTTCCATTCTTGGATATATAAGGCAAAAGGAAACTCAGGGAGTCCAACCCCTATTGTTTTTTCAAGACTTGAAGTCCCTAACTAGTCTGGCTGCTTTTCTCAACTCTTAAGAGTTATCTTATGTTTGCTTTGTATATAAATTCCTGGCTACTTATCTTGAGAAACAGGAAGAAGTACATCTACTTTATCTTCATGGAACAAGAAGTCACTATGTAGCCTTTGGTACCGGCTTCTTCCACTCAGCATAATGCCTTTGAGACTCATCTATGATATTGGGTGTGTTCATAGTTTATTCCTTTTAACTGCTCAGTATTCCATTGTATATTCCTGCTTGTTTATATATTCATCTATTGAAGGAGATTTTAGTTGCTTCCAATTTGGAGGATTATGAATAAAGGTGCAATAAATATTCTTAGGTTTTTGCATGAACGCAATTTTTCATTTCTCTACAGTAAGTACCCAGGAGTAGAATTACTGGATAGTGTCATAAGCGTATGTTTAAACTTTATAAGAAACTGCTAAACTGTTTTCCAGAATGGCTATATCATTTTGCATTGTCACCAGCAGTATGTGACAGTTCCTGATGCTCCACATCCTTGCCCACACATGGCATTTTTAGTATTTTTATTTTAGCCACACTAATAGATATGTAATGGTATTTCATTGTGGTTTTATCTGCATTTCCCTAAGAGCTAATTATGTTTAACACCTTTTCAAGTGCTTGATTGCCCCTATCCATATAGCCTCTTTGGACAAGTGTCTGTTCAAGTTTTTTGCCTATTTTTTTGATTGGCCTGTTTGTTGTCTTCCTGTTGAGTTTTGAGTATTCTTTATATGTTCTGAACACTTTAACAACTTTTTAATCTTATAAAACTAAAGCAAAGATAGAGAAAGAGTGCAAAAGTAAAGCAGTCTAATACAATCAGCTGTTATTGCATTAGCAATGTGTCTGCTAATAGTTCCTCCTGAGGTTCAAACAGGTAGCCTTGGCCACATGAAGACTGCACTCCCACCAACAGAAGTCACAGCCCACTTAAAGAGCAGGCTCCAAAAGTTAGAGATTTTTTTCCACTATTCCATTCTTTCTATGACTTGGAAAATCTAGTAAAGTAGACTTGACTTGGGCATTTGATGAATTTGTTTTCAATGGTGAACTCCTAGAGAGCAGAGACTATGTGTACTTCATTTCATTTTTCCTAGGACCTACCACTTTAACGTATTCATCCCGAGAATATTTATATATTTCCTATTATCTGCCAGGCACTGCACTCCATGCTGAGAATATAATGATAAACAAATAGAAATTGTTCATGGACTCATGGAGCTTACAGATTGGGCCTAGTATACAGCAGGTACCCAAGCCAGGCTGATTTTTAACATCCTTTCATGTTAAAAAAATTTCCCCCTAGAATAAATTGCCTTTTAAAATCTTTTAGTGTATCTCTCTATTTCCATATTGCTTCTTTTAATGAAGTCTTCAAATAATCATACCGAATTCCTATCAATATTTTTTATGTGCTCAAACACATCTGTTCCATTTTTTTCCCTGGATACCTCCTAGTGTTATTGAAAGTCCTCTGTATTCTTTTCTGAACTGGACTAGTGCTCCCCAAAACCATGACATGGCTGCCTTTCTGGGACTTTCAATGTTCCTCTATGTGATAGCCCAGGTTCCTAGACACCAAGATCTTTTCTTTTTAATTTGTTCCTCATTTTTCTGGAGCATATTCTCCAGTAGCTTCTTTAAAAAGTATACATGCAAAGTTATTTTTAAATTCATATATGTCCAAACAGGAATTATTCTGTTTTCATATTTGATTAATAGTTTAGCTGGCTATAGAACTCTAGGTTGAAAATAATTTCCTCTCTGAGTTTTCAGTGCATTTCTTCATTGGATTGTAGCTTATAGCATTCCTACTGAGGAATCTGGTAACTTTCTGAGCCTTGATCCTTAGTATGGACCTCTTTTTCTCTTAAAAAGATTATGTGTTCTTCTTTTTATCCATAGTGTTTGGAAATTTAACAATGAAGTGCGTTGGTATGGGATTTGGGGCATTTATTATAGTAGAGCTCTATGGCCTCTCTTGTTCTGAAGATATGTGCTTTGGTTTGGGGAAATGTTCTTGCATTATTTTTCACAATAGCCTCTGCCCTGGCTTCACTCTTCTTTCTTTCGGAAGCTCCTATTAGGCTGATGTTAGTTAGACCTTTTGTGTGGATTCTCTACATTGCCGACATTTCCTCCTGTTTTCTATTTCTTTGTCCTTTTGTTCATTTGAGTTCCTGTGAGATAACCTTGACTTTATACTCTAATTTTTCTAGCAAATTTTAAAATTTATAATGTTGTATTTTTGATTTGCAAGAGTTTTTCTTTCTATCATCTTACTCTTTTTTCCATGCTTATAAAATTTCCTCTAATTCTCCTGAGAAGGTTAGTTAACTATTTTATATGTTTCATTCTGGTTTCTATATTGTATCCATTTCTTCCACCTCTCTGGACTTAGAACCAGTTTTTGTCTAACTCTCCCTACTGCCGTATACGCAAGGATCATGACCCGCTAGCTTCTGGGGGTTTTCGCCTGTCAGATCAGCTTGCAACTCTGATGAGTAACCAAGAAGAATGAAGTCCAGCATGGCTTTGGTCCAGATTAGATGTGTGGAGGAGCCAGGAGACAGGTGCCAAGACAGGGAGCAACTGAGGAATGGTAAAGGACCCCAAGGAAATCCACACACTTGGCAGCATTCCTTTAGCACCAGCCTTCTCTGCTGCTGGCCTGGGGGAGGTAACCATCTCCTGCTAGCTCTGGGACAAACCCAGTGCCTGGGGCTCCCCAGACTGCCGCTGGACTCCCAAGGACACAGGCCATGTCACTCATGCTCATGGGCTTGATTGTGGTTCAATGACGTTCGTATTTATCTGTCTCCAAAGAGCTCTTCTTTTGCACTTGTGTTCCCACGGAAGCTCTGCTTGTGAGACTCCTGGAACTGGATGTGCCATTGCCAACCACATCTCAGAGATCACCTGCCACAGCAGGCGCGCCATCTTGTCCCCATTTTTTCCCAAGCAAGAAAACCCTGAGCCAGGCCACTCCCCGAACTCCTAAATCTCCCGCGTGCTGCTGTGTCCGGACTCCGTCAACTCCAGCTTACCATGGATCCCAACTGCTTCCTCGCCACCGGCGAATCCTGCACCTGCGCCGGCTCCTGCCAATGCAAAGAGTGCAAATGCACCTCCTGCAAGAAGAGCTGCTGCTCCTGCTGCCCCGCGGGCTGCGCCAAGTGAGCCCAGGACTGCGTCTACAAAGGGGCATCGGACAAGTGCAGCTGCTGCGCCTGATGCCAGGAGAGCCCAGCTCCCAGATGTAAATAGAGCCACGTGTACAAACCTGGATTTTTTTTCATACCACCTTGACCCGTTTGCTACATTCCTTTTTCTATGAAACATGAATGATAATAAAACACTTTCGACTTGAAAAAAAAAAAAAACCCTGAGCCATTTAGCACTCACGATCGTCCTTCACACCTCAGCCCAAACATCCTTTTTCTCAATCACTTCACTTATTTTTTTGTCAGTACTGGAAAATTCTCAGCCATTATATCCTTGATGTATCCCCTTGCCCATTCTCTTCTCTCTGAACTCCGGACAGTTGAGTGCAGGAGGAGGCGCACAGGGCCCTCTGCTCTCTCTGTGAGGAACACTCAGGGCACACAGGGACAACCTGAGTGTTCAGGCCTCTCGTGTCCTCAGGGCAACCTTCCACCATGCAAGGACAAGACCCCTGGGTAAATGCTCCTGTCCCCCCATCTTCTGGTGGGACAGCTCTGAGGTTCATTCTACAGTTCCTCAGAAGGTCCCCAGCAAGACTGAGCCCACGGTAGCAACTCGCTCATTAAATACTGTATTTGATCTTCTCCCTGCCCTGCCCCACTTTCTCCCCTCCCTCACGTTTGCTTCCTGGGATCACGTCCCAGATAAACTATCCACACCCAAGCCCTTGTCTCTGGCTCTGCTTTCAGGGCCATGCAAACCCGGTTACTTCCTCTTCTGTTCTTAGACACCGATACTTCTGGAGTTTGAACTAAACAGAATTACTTTGTGTTTATTAAATACAGCACACTCCCTTCACCTCACCGAGCCTTTTCTTCAGGCTGGCATGCCTTCCACACTTCCATCTCCCTCTGTCTGGCCAAACGATCGCTATCCTTCAAGACCCACTCAAGTATCGCCTTTTCTGGAAGGCTCCCTCATGTCCCAACTAGGCTGCAAGCTAGAGGGGCTGCCCATTTCCTACTCATCTCTGAAGCCCCCACTGTATCAAAATGAATGTATGTTAAATGAATGAGTTCTCCCAGGTATCCACAGAGCACCATGTACTTCTGCCCTATTTTTTCACAAGGTAATAATAAAGAAGGTGATAACCATAACTCCCATCACTGTCTAGCACTCTAGAGTTTACAAAGGTATTTAACATGCAATCTTTTATTTGATCTTAGCAACCCTGTAGGAGAGGCAAGGAAATTACTATCATCTCCGTTTTATTACTGAGAAAACTAGGGCTCAGAGAAAAGAACTGACTTTCTCAGGGCTGCACAGCACTAGAACCCAGCACTCTCAACTACTGGCCCGGCACTCCTTCTAGATACCTTGCGGTCCAGGCCCATGGTGCCTGCCCTGTGCCTCGGAGCGAGCCCCTGTGCTCCCCTGGCCACTTCCCGTCCACCGTCTGCTGCATTCTCTGGCCATTCATTCCTGACAGGCAGATTTGCTCAGTGTCCCCACAAACCATCTCCCAAATGTTCTGCAGCTCTCTCTGAGCTTCGTCCAGGCCGTGGTCCTAGACTGCCCCTGCTCCCCTGCTCCCTAAACCCTTTCTATACTTTCCCAGGCAGTTGCTTGGGCCGCCCCCTTCTGCTTGGAAGCCGTCTGTGCCGACTCTGAGGCAGTCTCCTCCACAGTCCGCATTGCCCCCCTGTTCTGACTCATCCCAGGGGTCCCAGCTTGAATGTCACTTGAATGTCACCTAGGTGTAGTTCTCCACCCTGACTTTCCAAACTTTATTAGATCACCCTAGCAGGCCACACTTTCTCTTCACAGCTATTATCACAGCATTTAGCTGCTTGAGGGCAGGATCTGAGCATGCCCAGCACCTGCTCACGCCCCCCCATGGGCCCTGCAGATGTGCAGGACTGAATGAACAGATCAAAGAAGGAAGAAAACATGAGCTTTTGTGCAATGGCATTTGCTCCTGTTGTCTTTCTTCCTATGGAAAACAAACAATACTGGGCTATGAAGCTTCGTTTAACCAACCAGGGCAGGAAATCCAAATGGCTTCTCCAGGCTGCTTTCGTGCCTGCGTTCCCACAGCCAGGAGTCGGGTCTGCGCAGCCCCGCGGCGCTCCGTGGGGCTCTCGGTCCACCGAGCCAGTAGCAGCTCTTCTGATCTCATCCTGTGTAAACACTGCAGCCCAAAAGGGTTCCCGTGGGATCACCAAGTTGGCATTTGCTCACTGTCTTCTATTATTGCTTAGCTGGAGAAAACATTTCACTGCTCCAGGCAAGTCATAACAACAATTTTTTCTAACGGCTTATGGGACCAGGAGGGGTTCCTGTGGCCACTTCTGAGCTAAAAGCAGACTCACCGCTTGGGAACTGGGATGCACCCACCATTCCTGCATCCTTCTCTACCTTCACCCCTCCCTTGTGTCCCCTCGGGTCCCACTTCCTGCAGGGACCCCGGTTCTAAGGCCGTTTGCCTCTCTTCCTGCTGGCAAGACCAGCTGTTGGGATCTGGCTCAGTGTGTGTACATGGGTGAGGCCGAAGTAGCTCTGGTATAGTGAAAAGAGCTCAGGCTTCAAACCATAAAATCCAGGTCTCTAGTCTATGACTTTCACCTACTGTCCTTGGAGAAGTCACTCCAACTCTTGACTTCTTCCTTCTCCTTTCATGTAAACCGAGATAAGCACCAGGCGTACGCCATGGATTGCTATGAGCAGTCACAATGAGACGAACCAGCGCGAATGACTTGCGTACTGTAAACTTCTGCACAAATATAAAAAGTATCACACTATCATGAACAGAAGGCCTCATTTTCATGGGGAAGTTGCATTTTAAACCTCACATCCCAAAGGAATTTCAAGCTTGGGGGCAAGTGCAGGTCAGGTGGCCTTCTGATAAGAGCCCTTCAGGAAAGAAGGAAATAGAAATTTGTGGAAGGTCACTCACCTCCTGCAGGGAGCTGTATTTCCACACCTTGAGCTTCCTGTCTCACTGGTTTTCAACACGCCCATCCCTGAGGTCACAGGAGCCTTCACTGTATCTTAAGGTCTACTCCTCGCGGCATAACTGAGGCTCCGGGCGCATTGAGTGGACACAATTATGGCGCACCCCACCTGCTGTTCCTTTGGAGGAATGCCAAAATTCCCTGCAAACATCTGCACCACAGGTGCTCAAGCAAAGCCAGATGGGCAGGAAAACACACACACATCCGTCAACAGGTCATATCATTGGACTCGGATGGTGAAGGTGAGGTTTGGGAGGCCATTCATAGCTAAGGACCTCCAGCTCATCAAAGAGAAAGAACAAAAAGCTAAAATACTAGCACCTGATTTAACAGTCTTAACACAGGATTCTCTGGGCTTCCTTTTGAGTTACCCATTATAGGGTGTATATGCCCAAGGAATCCCAGGTGAGACTGTAGTGCAATTGCGTAAGAATATATATATGAAGGCGTGAGGGCTGAGATGCACTCCTGTGAAGTGAGCGAGTTCGTCCCTTAAGCATCTAGAGGGGAAACACATGTTCAATGTGGATGTCGACAGCCACTGACCCAGCACCGTTAACACGGTGGCTGTGAGGAAGGGCTTTGCTGTTTGACAGGCTTGGGATGGAGTCCTGGTTCTGCTACTTTTTCACCCTGGGACCTGGTGACACTTGGAAAAGTTAGAGTCAAGTACCACCAACTCAATTTCTTTATCTGTAAAATAAGAATTAAAATGCCTACTCATAGTGGTGCTTTGTGCATTAAAGAGAAATGATGTGTGCAAAGTGCTCACCAACGACTGGCAGGTAGAAACTCAATAGTTATTTTAATATCCTGCTTTGGAACTAATTTTCTAGCAAGTGGTCCTTTACGTAAGGACCCAGACTGGCACAAGCATAATTCAATCCCATTTCCATCCTCCCAAGATCTATTAGGAAAGAAAGGAAGTCTACTCACACGAAAGAAAGGTATATTAAAGGATAGGGCTTCTTATTCAGGGCATGGTACAAGCTGGAGGTGTCTTTAGGGTTTATTGTGATAGCTTTTGAGTCTCACCCAAGAAAATCAGATCCTTCCAAGTGGGGGAAAAACAGAACTTCCAAAGATGAGTTCAAGCTAAGTATCCCACACCAAGTAGAAAGATGTCTAAAGCTTCAGCCTATCCCAAAAAACAGCCACATTCGCTGTCTCTTACGGGACTGGCTGGGTATCATTTTGATCAGTCATTCGGGGACTGGGCTGCCCATGCACAAGTAACTCCTTGAACTTTCAAAAACATTTAGCTAAAAGAAAATTAGCCTCTTACACTTCAACCATGGCATAGGCACCTAATCCAGCATACCAAATCATAATCACTTTGTACCATTCAGTTCCACATTTACACTTAAAATTTTAACTACTTTAAGGGACAATCAAGTAACAAAGAAGGACAGTCACTTCATCAGGTGACCTCTGTTAAGGAGCTTCCAGCCCAGAAAAGGGATTATTCTGCCAAGACCCTATTATAGCATGTAGTCCATAAATGTTTATTGAGCAATTGGCTGATTCATTGATTCGTTAATTCATTTATTTAACAAATGCATACCGGGCACTTACTCTTGCAAGTCTCAAAGGCCTGAGATGATTGAGACACAGTTTCTTATCTAAAGAAATGTAAAATCTACTGAAAGAGTATAAAAAAGCTGACTGTCATATCAGAAAGAACGAGATAAGCGCTTTACATGAGCTGCAAGTGAAGTGCTGTTGGAATTCAGACGGAGGAATGGTTGCCCAGCGTTGAGGAAACACTCAAGAACATTCTGGTAAAGGAAGGCTGATGGATCTGGTGAACGATTGGCTAAAGGCGAAATGCTGGCCCCACACAGGCTCTGCAAAGCCTCCTCCTGGCCTACTCCACTTCTGCACCTCTGCCCCCCACAGATGCTCACCTGAGGCTCTGCCATGGGCTCTGTCCTTAGCAGGGCAGGACTGGCTCTCAGCATTCCCAGCTCTGCCTCTCTCCACTGAACTCAGGCCAAGCATTGATCTTTGCGTTGTCAACATGCCACATCACTTTGCAAAGCCTGCATCTTATGG